AGCCCTCCATTGGTCCCCATCCTCAGCCAGATCGATCCGGTCCAAACCACTCAATCCTATCTCTCCAAGATCCATTTTAATATTGTCCGCCCTCCTACGTAGCCTGATGGAATAAGCGGCAATGCCACCGCAAGTAATTTACGTATTTCGATAATGGTCGAGATTAAAATGTCGGCTGAAACATGAGCACCTGTACTGCCGTTCCCTTGTGTCACCTTTCCTTATCTTAGTTGTAACTTCTAGCAACTCTGCAAGATAGTGACAAACTGGGAAGCAACATCACACAGCCTGCCCTACGCAGGTTAATGGACTTTACATGTTAACCATTCAAATCATGTTAGACGTAGATGGGAAGATAATATTGAAAAGTATCCCAGGGTAATAATGATACTTACATACTCGTACTAAGAGATGACCAAAGTATAAAACTTCACCGCCGGATTGTCCGCCCCGCCACGATGGCGTTGTCAACCGTGGAAATTTTGATTTGTAAAAAACTTACAGGTCACATTGGACGGAGTGATTTGTATTCGTGGAAATTTATTTGTAACTACAAAATACAAAGCCTAAACTTTAAGGTTCTTTTTAGAAATTTATTTCTAAAATAAATTTATTTATTTATTTATTTTTAGAAATTTATTTCTAAAATCACACCCAAAACCTAATCTTTTCAAAACGTAATCAAAACTAAAGTTTTAAAAAGGGTGACAAAGTCTGACTTCTAGCTGAATTGACGTGGATCATCCCCTAAAACTTTAAGCATTGTAAGAAGTTATGAATGTGTACAGAAGCTTCATTTTCTGACTCCAGTATGACTGCGTCATGACACAACAGTTAAGTGTTCCTCTGCCAGGGACTGAGGAACCTGTCTCGCTACCTGCCTGTAAAATCTTCAAATGCTTGAACGTTTCAACCCACTTCCCTTCGTATTTATACTGTGCTCTTTTCGGTCATGTACCGTGTTCTGGTGGCCCTTAACACGGTTCGAAAAACATAGTGACTCCATCTGAAAGTTCGTCCAAGACGTTGGCACGCACCCACCAGACTACACGGCGGCGTAACACAGACCGTAACAATATCAAACTTCACCACCGTAAAAATATTAAATTTCAGAATTTTCACATTGCTTGATTGTGAAAGTTAGATCACATCGGGAACACTGAGAATATAAGGCTCAAAGTTTCGAGCTTTAAATGAATAGAATTTTAAGCTAAAGCCGGACTAAAAATGGCATGAGGGTTTCAGAAGCCGTCAGAATATGCTGGTGTAGCAATCTGTACTCCTGAATCGCGTTCAGATGGATCTTCATTTCAGTTTCAGCGGCTGAACTTATTGTAGAATACAGGCTTCTCGTAGAATTTTGCTAAAATTTCGAATGTGTGATAACGGAGGCAGTAAATTTATATGGTTCACTTCCCCGAACGGGAGACATTGTTCTCATTGCTACTGGGATCTGACGCGGATTTCTCTTGGAATGACGTGGTCAGAGAATTACGCCTAGCACTGACTCCTGATAGCGCCGAGAACCGGAATGGGTGGGCCTTTACTGTCCCCAACAACAACAGAATAACAATCTACATATTCATAAGGAATGTGATTCGATACTTAAAGAATAAATTGTGCGAACAGAACAACACAGTATTAATGACAGAGATTACAACCACAACAAATAATAATACTAAAAAATATTATGGAAGCGGTCATAAAAAACGAAAACTTAATTTTTAAATAAATACTGATTCATCGATTTTAACTCTAAACACAAATATTTTCCATCGTTAGCCTTGGGGCCAACACAGAGCTTTTCTCAGTGGAATTCTCGCGTTGCTGTTTCATATTTTCAACCAAATGTGAGAAAATATTTTATTGTCAAGTAGAAATGTATCCTGTTTCAAATAACATCACTTGTCCTAACCGAATAATGGGTGGTGTGTACATGCATGCCGTGAGTACAGAAAATAACCAAAAATGCCCCTCATTTTGTGGCCTGTGTAACCTATTTAAACGAACGGCTTCTTTCGTTCATGTTAAGACAAAGTGAGAGTTTGTTGTAAAAGTAAAAGTAAAGCTATCCCTGTAAGAGGCCGTGAAGGCCCAGAGGGTTGTGAGATGTTGAGGGTCCAACATTATCCAGAAAATCGGCTTAAAGATGGCGGTAAGGTTGTCAGCCTTACGCGCCGGCCGCGCTTTACTCCCCAGGAAAATTATTTATTTAATTCTTGGTACTCATTTCTATTAGAGGCTGAGTCGACCCCAAGGCCATAGTGCGGCCGAAAGGATTAGGTCAATTGAAAATAACCACTGACCTCATCGGGACTTGAACCCGCGACCTTCCGGCTTGTAGCATAGTGCCTCAACCACTACATAAAATTATTATACGTAGTGGAGTAGGTTGCTTTATGAACATAACAGCGAGGCACGAAATTCATCTATCCATCTGTCTCACTCATGGAGCTGAGCCCTTCTTGAGAAGCTGCCAATTGTTCAGCTACTCAAAAATTTCCAGCAATTTAAGGAACCCGAAGGTTCATTACCGTGATCACAAGAGCACTCCACTGGTCCCTAACCTCAGCCAGATCAATCCAATCCATAACATCCCATTCTATCTCTCAAAGATCCATTTTAATATTGTCCAACCACCTACGCCTTGGTCTTCACAGTGGTCTCCTTCCTTCCAGCTTTCCCACAAATATCCTATATGCATCCCTCCTCTCCCCCATTCGTGCTACATGCTCTGCCCACCTCATACTCCTTGACTTGATCATTCTAATTATACTTGGAGAAGAGTACAAGTTATGAAGCTCCACATTATGCAGTTTTCTCCAAACTCCTGTCACTTCATCTCTCTTCGGTCCAAATATTCTCCTCAACACCTTGTTCTCAAACAGCCTCTGTCTATTTCCTCCCTTAAAGTGAGAGACCAAGTTTCACACCTATACTGAACCACAGGCAATATTAGAGTTTTGTTTATTCTAATTTTCGTGTTTTTGGACAGCAGACGAGAAGACAAAAGGTTCTAGACTGAATGGTAGCAAGCATTACCAGAGATTAAACTCCTCTTAATTTCCTGCAGAATCAGGTTTTGATTTATTATCGTTGTTCCCAAATACCTGAACTGTGCCACATTTTCAAAATATCTATTTCCTATCTTATGTCATGATTTTGCCCCGCATTTTGGCGACGAGATAGCAACTTATACTAAGCTGTGTTTGTGTTTTATTCTATGCCAGACTCCTTACTAGCATCAGTTATAGTTTGTGTGTTTCTCTTTACGATATCTATCCATCTATCTAATCGTGTTTAGTAAGAGTGGAGGGCCATTCTGTTAGTCGCGTATTTCAAAATGCAGAAGTTATTGGGTACAGATGCACATAATGACAAATTATATAATTAAATGCACAGGTCAACAATGGTTCTGAAAATGAAGATAGATTACTTGACTTAATATTATCCACACAATTATATTTTCAGCGTGTTTAGTAGGAGTGCAACAATTTCTTCATGAAATGTTGCCTGCTTCCATGTACTGCTATGAAGTCTGCGGGAGCTTTGTTTCCTAGTAACTTGTAAAATCCACATTAAAAACAGAGACACCAGTGTTTCTGCGGGAAGTTATTACGAATGCCACCAGAGCTTAAGTGTGTGTGCAATTACAAGGATTATGCTCTATTAACAGTTTCATGGGGTGAAAAGGGTGGCAAAGCGTAAACAGTGTCACGCCTGGCTCCGTACGTTAGAATACATACGTGGTCTACTTAAATGTTTTCTATCAAGAAAACGAGTCTTTCTAACGGAAAGATTCTCACGCATCACTAATTTAATTATCAATTACAATATTTGTCTCTAACACACGTGTAAATTCACATTAAAAATAAAGGTATCCCTGTAACAGGTCGTGGAGGCCCATAGTGCTGTCAGATGTTTTCTAGACAACTAGCTCATAGATGGCGGTAAGGTTGTCAGCCCTAGGCTCCGGCCGCCCTTTAGCCCTAAGAATATTCCAAGAATATTCCTGGTACTTATTTCTGTTAGAGGTTGAGTCGACCCTAGGGTCATAGTACGGCTGGAAGGATTAGGTCAATTGAAAAAATCCTATAAACACATCGGGACTTGAACCCGCGACCTTCCGGCTTGTAGCATAGTGCCTCTACCAGCTACGCGACCGTGTGCCCAGTAAATTCACATATAATACGTAATTATTATTTTGAAATTTTAACCGGAATAATAAAGCTAAATATGGCGAACACTTGATTTGTCACTGAATTTTGATCTCATTTAGCTACTTAACATAACGCTCACACCCATCTACTGCCGAGGGCAACAATCCGTGTATCTATGGTATGCATCACACCCCCAAACGCCTTCATGGCGTGGTGCTCATTTATTTATGCACTTTACTTTCTACCTTTTTACTAGACATACATGCGTGTAAATTACTATAACATATTCAATCCTCTAATCTTCCCTGACTGTATAATCTATTTCCGGTTACTATCAACAATACAAAATATTTCGAATGAGATATCTCAATTTATTGTAAACAAATATTTGAATATTTAACACTGCTTATATTTTGCAGGATATATTGGAATTGACACATCGACCTACGGTCAATGGTGATTTGAATCTATTTTGTGAAAACATAAATATCATAAACAGAATCTCATGGACTGTATCGGAAGCTAGAAAAGAAAGATTAATTTACTTATGGCAAGAATGTTCACTGCCAAAACCATTGTCATATATGCAGTCAAGATATTCCATTGTATGTCGTACACGACAGTTCATGTTCGTGGTCACAGTAGGCCGCATTTGACTCCATCTCGATTCAGACCTGTAAACCTATATCATATGCAGTTCAGAGAGCACATGCATCCTGCAGTGAAAGAGGGGAAACGAAGGACGCGATATCCCGGAATGACTGGGCATGTACATAAGAACCAGGCGTGGCAGGCACTTCACAACGGACATAGGTGAATGGGACATTAAAAGTTACGTACCGTTTTACATTAGGAGCTTGTCCGTTTGATCCAGATCACAGCGCGCTGGATCTCTACGCACTCCAAAACTGCAAATTGCTTCAAGATGGCAAGTAACAAGCACAGTAACACAACAGAAAGCTTTCTGAACGCCACGGCAAGTAGCACAGATGTCCATCGCCAATGATGGTCAAGAAAACAGCTAGGGGATATGTAACCTTACGTCGCGAAGTCGCTTAGTATCCGCAGCGTCGTTCGGAACGTCAACACCGCGCGGTCGAACCAGTACGACTGACTTGAGGGGAAGCATTCGAGAAGGGGTAGGACTCAATAGGACGGCACGGCATGGAGTAAACGCGCGTACGTCAAGGGTACGGCATGGTGATCATCTAGTTAACAAGTATCCGCTTCATTATATGTAATATTGTGCCTAAGTCTGTAGACTACATACAGTAAAAATGAATAAATTAGTCTGTTTGTAAATGGTAGACCCTGTTCTTAATTAATTAAGCACAGTGCCGTGAAGACGTATGGGGGAGTGGAGTTATAGCTCCAGCATTCTTGACCTCGACACTAGATGGAGATGAGTGGTTAGCCTGAAGCCCCTGCCGCATTACCTCCGGCGAAATCGCACCCAAGTATCCACTGGATAGGAAGCTGCCTGGGCCCCAGAGCCGGTCTTGGTACTGTGGAGAACAGAGAAAATTTGCCGTGCCGGGAATCGAAACAGGAACGTCCAGCATGTGGGCCGAAAACCGAATTATATGGAGTAAAATGGAAGGTGTTCAGTATATAATTAAAGAGGATTTTGGAGGAAGCAATAGTGCCCTCATTCTATGTACAATCGCGGCCATTACGTGTGTTATTGTGAATGCCATGAAAAGCCTGTAGGGTCAACCGGTTACCAGCCGAGATTTGAAACCACTCTCTCCAGAATACAAAACCGGAGTGTTACCAACCACAACCCGCCGTTCGTTACTCACGCCGTCAGGAACAATGAAGTCAAACTAAATACGTAAAGTTTCAGTGAGTGATTGCATGCGAGTGTCAGCAAAGACCTTTTGCGAAACAGTCTGGGACGTCAGAGTCGATCGGTGACCTGAATGTCACATGACACACAAAACAGAATAAAATTCTTATTTCAAATTTCAGAATCATGACGATAGTATATGAATACAATGATCAATTTTCTGGACATTATAAATAATCCAAATGACTTTTATTTGAAGCGACGTTTCGGAGACTGCTTTTTTTTAACCATCTGCAAGCAAAATGCTTATTTTGTTAGACCTATTCGATAGGGTTTGTCCTATCTCCGGTCACAGAGGTAACATGAGACACATTATATAAACCGAGCAAGACACACCATATGAGGGGAGTGTGATGAAAACACACATCCAACGGCCCACGCAGCCGTGCATACTGTTTCGTCAAGAGCCATAAAAGCCAGAACACTATTTAAAACTGGAGCTGAAATCAGTGAATCAAGCTAAAAACTGCAACTACAGGTATTATATTTACTGTAGGTGTTGTTAACTTCAATCTGTGAAACTTCAACTTCTTTCACACGTACCTAGTGACCCTCTTCATGCGCATGTCAGCCTAATTTTGAAGTTTTGAGAAGTCATTGCGTCAGATTGCGCCTGCTCTCCTTAATGCATACTTGAAAAATCTACCTGTTTCGCGGCGTAACATCTGCCAAAGCCACGTGGAATATCGCACGCACGCACATTGTTCGGTCTGCTTGGTGTCTCAAATAGATATAGTTTCCATTGGCGTTTCATGGAGTGATTGTTTATTTTGTAAAATTGTCCTGCCATTGAAAAGCTTTCCAAAATGTCGACAGTTTTTTAAAATACCTCTAACGTATGGGTTAATGACTGTGCTGTACTATGTTCTATCTTTTTTTATATTATTTATTTATTTAAATTTTAGCAATCAGAATATTACACAATTCTATAAGCTAAAGTGCTGATTACTCATTAGATATACTAATGACTAGTGGCGTGAACAGGCTGATATCCAGCGAAATCACCTGTATAATCTATAATTAGTATCTATACATTAACTTAAGGGTAGTTCACTTGGCCACAGTTTTATGTTCTATCTAAAGAAGGCTAGTTGCTCCCCTTCGCTTGGTAATAGAATCAATGCTGTGTTGTACTGTAGATATACAGTAATTACTAGATCATATTTTGTATTCTTAATTTGCTTTCTGATCCTGTCATATGATCTTCGAATCATCATTGTCATCATCATCAACATAGGCTTGTATAATCCTGGTCAGTTTCGAAGGCGGTTCTGCCATCGTCCACTCAGTCGTCTGGTTAGTAATGATACATGTTTGAGTGTGCCTCGAAGACTCCATTCTTAAGATGCAATTATGTCATTTGTTTCTTACTCTAACATTCTAAAGCGTTTATCTGTAATGCATTGTATATTGTCGTATTTCTTATACGGTCTGTAACTATACACCCAGAGACAGCACTCAAAAAGCTCAATTTTGCTGCTCAATTTCACTCCTTTCAAGACCTCTTCGGAGTCCAGTTCTCACTTCCATACATAAGCAGGGGAGCTGTTATCACGTTATACCATTCAATCTGTGTATCCTTATAGTCTTGTTATTTTATCGTTCTTTCTGTTGTTCCATTTTTCTTCTTATTTTACTTTTAGTATTATGTCCTGTTGCCTGTTTCCCATTGGTATTAATCTGCAACTATGGACCTTAGAGACAGTCTGCAGGACTTGGACCCAGTGATTGAAAGGGCGGATACATGTTATGCTTGGACCGCGTGGCCATTTTGATTCTGTTCATGATCTCATGTACTGAACTTGTTATATGGTATTTATATTGATAGACTGTTTTTATTCTAGACAGTTACAGGTCTTTTTTCTTTTTTCCGTTTGAACATAAACCTAAGAATTCTCCGTTCCTTGTAGTAGGAAGGATGATGAAGGACTCTTTAGCGAATCAGTGATACGCCTAACGAGATGACGTGCTGTTTCATGTAACTGATACGGTGAAGGTGACTATGGGACGATACAAAAACTGCCCAGTGATTCGATTCAATGTAGAGACCATTGCCTGCCTCCTGTCACCGTAGTGATATTAACACAAGGGCCGAACTTAACAGCGCTGTCATGACATGGTCCCGATCTGACACTTGATTCAGCAGGTGGGAAGGAGACATGCTCGCAGCGTACCTCCATTAGCAGCAACCTATTTTACTGCAAGGATAACGAGATTTAAGCGACTAACAAATAAACAACTATGCTGATGCCATGGAAAGAAGTCCCATGAACCGACTGCCTCCAACCTCCCTCAGTTTTGTACGTCGTCAGTTGCTGTAATCTCACAGGTTACGATTGTCAGCGGGAGCGCTATGAATCCGACACATAAATTATTCCTTTTCCGTAAATAACCGAGGGACTGCAAGTAAGAAGGATCCTGCTTTCAGACGCTGCTACTCGCTCAGAAAATCAAGAAAGCCACCCACAACCCTTATAGAACCTCAGTTTTAATGTCTTTCTCACAAGAGCGTCCTCCTTTATCTTAACCTGAACCATATTACTTCAAGGAAACATCCTCCTAACTTATTTTAAGATCAATTTTATTATTATCCTCCAATGTATGCCTACGTTTTCCAACAGGTCTCTTCCTTTCAGGTTCTTCGAACAAAATAGCGTACGAGTTTCTCTCACACGTACTACACAATCCTCCCTTCTCACTCTCCGTAATTTCATCGCATAATGTTATTAGTCGAGGAGCACGAAGCTTTCCCCATCCTCCTGACACTTTCCCGTTTCGTTAATGCACGGCGATATACGGTAGGTCTTATTGCAGTTGGTATTTTGTGCCGTGAAGTAATATTTTGTATTGTTCCCTGCTATACAGATATCGGACACAATTGCGATTTCATTTTCTCAGGTGGAACACGAACACACCATATCAACTGGTCGTGCAGACAATCGATAAAGTCCAATCGAAATATGTTCAGTAACCAGAAGCCTGCTTGGGAGACACACGAATATGCTTCATGCGCTTCGGATAAGAAGCGACACAGACTGTCGCCCCTTAAGAGCAGAGTGGTCGCAATATATACCGCCTACATTAGCATTAAAGGAACCGGGATATCTCTGTTGGTATAGTGACTGGCTACGGTCTGGACAACGGAGGGGTCGGAGTTCGAGTCTCTGTAGGTTCAGGTCTTTCATTTTCTCCACGTCGTCCACACCTGTTCTGGGAACAAACTAGCTCCCTATTTAATGGTTACAGGGGGCTCTCTTTCCCGGGGATAAAGAGGCCGTGATGTGCCGAGGTAAAGAAAACTTGGAAATTTATATATACACTCCACCCACGAGCCTTCGTGGCGTAATGCTTAATTAGTTAATCACAATGACAATTTTGCTTTTACATTAGCATTTAAGGAAATCCATACAGTGCATTTCACATGACTGTCAGAACAAAGAGCGATTGTTTCTTTAAAAATCGCTTATAGCTTTCTCGTTTCAGCGTAGAATCAGAGTGATCTCTGTCAGGTGGGAGCTGAATATTGAAGTATTAATAGCACTCCAGTGCAGAAAAGTCTGCACTTCGATTTCAGAAACGACTTTTATTATCCATCAAGCTCTACCTATCGTATATGTGCCTCTCTACCTTGGTTACCTTAAACTGATGAAAATTCAAAACTCACTTTTGTCACAATCACAAGCTGTTAAGATCTAAACAATTTTCTGTTGAAAGTTATTGGAAAGTAAATTGGCTTTGGATCAAACGCCTGTACGTAAGAGCAAAATTACAAATATCCTCCTGTTTGACCCTCCCTCATTCTTCTTTGATATTTCTTCTACAGTGAGCAGTCCGAGAGGAAGAGGATGTGACAGATGGACAGAGGAACAAAATAAAGGGAATCTAAATTCTCCGGTAACTTTGCCTCTTCGCTTATTCTTGTGCTTTCCTTCCTTGTCATTTTATAATGCTTCACAAAACTTACGATCTAACGTTAGTTATCAGATTTCTCGGCCAAAGGCCCATGTAACTGAGGACTTTCTACGGCCTGGACAATTCTCATGCATGCAACCGATGTAACGGGGCGCCGGTGTGGTATGCTATCCCGGCAGTCTCTCGCTCTCTCTTCCTTTCTGTGTAGTCCTCAGCGGGATACTACGCAGCTCAAAAATACCGACAAGACAAAAGATTAAAGGCAAAAGTGTGAGAAGGTTTGCGAACAAGATGCTGAGGTAATAACAGTTATGTAAGAGAAAAGGATAACAAAA